TGTCAGCAGGGGCAGAAGACTGACAGAAGCATTGGAAAAGGAAGGGCATTCTGGGAAAGGCAGGAAACAGGGACTAAGGATAGCACTGCCAAGCACAGTGAGGCATCAGTTCAGTGTGGCTGGAAGAAATACACCTGGTGTTTCTTCCCTCACTGGTATGTGCCTAGCATGGAGCTTTGCATCAAGTACCCATGTGTCTGGATGGATGGATGGATGGATGGATGGATGGATGGATAGATGATGGATGGATCGGTAGATCGATAGATAGGTGGATGGAGGGATAGATGGGTGGGTGGATGGATGGAAGGAAGGAAGGAAGAAGGAAAGAGTGGATGAACACATAAATGGCTACAAGGTACTGAACGCTACTAGTTTTATTTTGTAACATAGACCCTCAAATCTATGGAATCTAAGGAATCTATGGAATCTAAGGAATGTGGGAAGCACATTTCATCACTGTTTCTTGCATTCCTACCAAGTGCCATGCCCTAAGAAAGGTGCCAGAGCAGGGTGGCAGCAAGAGGCTCTGTGTGTCATGGTGAGAGTCGCACCCATTGTCTTTAAATCAGAACTTCCCCTCCCCTTAACACTTTCTGACCTCCGGGTCTTGCTTACGAGGAACCGGCACGGTGAGATCATGAGACCAAAGAAGCCGCGGTGGATGGATGCTTTCAAAAAACACCAGGAGCTGCAGGATTCAGGCTCCACTATGGGGAAAGCTTCCTTGCTGCCATGCACCGACCCACCCAGAGTGGCCACCACGCACCCTGGTTCTAAGTGGGAGAGAAGGACACGCAACAAGCTCCAGAGAGTGAGTGGTAACGTGCAGAAGATGTGCATCAGGTCTAAGAAAAGTTCTCTGAAGCAACACTGTGCCACAAATTGGTTTGCAGTCCACCTGCCGTGTGGATGTTTTGCCGTGTGGGACAGTGGGAACCCCATGGGCTTTCCTTGTTCGTGGACTCGTAGGGATGACGTTTCCATTCAAAATCGCACGAGTTACTTCTCCTGGGGAATGCTTGGAGCCAGAGCAAGGTCAGGTGCCAATTCTGTCCACTCATTAGCTGTGTGGCCATGGAAAACTTACTCCTCCGTAAACTTCAGTGTCTTCTTTACCAGACAGACAAAGGAAAACGACCTCTGTTTTGAGGCAGTCATGTGAGATACAGTCGGCACCCTAGTAAATGCTTACCAAATCTTTGCTGCTAATATAAATAATATTTGCTTGAATTCTGTAGGTACATCTACTAGAACGCTGTTGTTTAAACCCCTTAAAACTCCTGAAAGCTCCTGAGGAAAAAATGTTTGCCCATCAGAGCTTGTCTTGATTAGTGGTCTCAGAGCTTGCCAAATGCTTTTCAAATGCATTAGCTTAATTAATTGATCAGGCGTGGCTCTGTGTCTGGGAACTAGGTGTTTGTCGAGGGGCCTGCCCTTATCTCTGGGAAGAGGGATCGTGGTGTTGAAGCTGGACCATGTCAGCAAAGCTCCAGGAATTCGATGCTTCCCCAAAGCTTGAAACAAGCAGTGAGCCAGAACTTTCTTGCAACAGGTGAATTGGTTTTCCAGACTGGGTAAGCCAGAAATGCTTCCCTGCCCCTCCCTTCCAATTATCTCCACCTTGATGTCGACACTCAGCAGAATTCTGGAACCTGTCATTATTATACAGACATCAGTGGGAGCTTAGCGGGCCCCAGCTCATCAACATGAATTCCCAGAAGGAACCGTGTACCCAAGTAAGCCCCAAACTACAGCTTTGAACGGTGGTGTTTCCAGCCTAGGAGATCATGTAAATGTTAGAGAATTATGTCTTCTTCATTAGACTGTGAACAACGTGGGGTCAGGAGAGTTACACGTCTTCAAATGGCCTGCAGTTCCTGTCACAGGATAAGAAACCAACACCTGCTTGCTGGCTAACTAAAGGTGTAAGTAAAGGAATGAAGAATTTTAACAAAGGAATTTTTTAAAAAGCCTCTTGTCTTTTAAAAATTAAGGACATTGAGAAGAGTAAACTCACAAATAACGCATGTAGGCAAATCCACAGCATTTGAACCATCGGGATTCATTAATGAACTGTTGTCAACACCAAAGGAAGAAATCCAGGTACCAGAACCAAGGCTCCATGCCTTTCAACACTGTCGTCAATGACTGGGTAGGAAAGTGGAAAGTTAGAGAGTTCAGGGCTCCCACAGAGGCCCCAGACCATGGCTGGAAAGGACTCCAGCCCAGGCCATGTTGTTGTACAGGTCAGGGCTCCAGGGGCGAGAGAAGGTTCTTAGAGCTCGCAGAAGGAGAAGACCACAGAGAGAAGACAGAGCCACCATGGCGAACTGGGGATTGCAAGCTAGGAGACAGTAGAGTAACAGCTCAGGATTTTGAGTCTGTTATTTCCAGCCTAGATCCCTCTCCATAGGCATCTATAACTGGCTGTTCAGTGTAACAGAATAAGAACAGCCTTAGATTTTTTTTTTTTAACCTCACTCACATCTTGCCTCCGGAAGCTGACTGAGGCCATGCCCCACTACAGCGAGGAAGTCCATTTTTAAAAAGGCATGGGATCCAGGAAACCAGGGATAAAAAAAGCCAAGTAAAGGAAAAGCCATTTCCAGGAAACCCAGAAACAAGGTTAGAAAACAAATCACTCATCAAGCTCAGAAAACAAATCACTGATCTAGAAAGAAAATGTCATCAACATACACATGAAATGTCTCAGCTGGAGAAGCCTCGTCTTGAAGAAGATTTCTGTTTTATGGGATTCTGTCTATTAAAACTAGATACATAGAGCTAGAGAATGTTGATTTAATCCTGTGCTGTAATTTCTGGAAAGATCGAGGGAGAGCCATTAAACATGCATGTAGGTCTGGACATGTGTCTCAAAGAGCTGACTCCTCATCTTCTGAAGCAGAAAGCCAGTATCTAGCACAAAAAAGTCAAGAAATGGCAGAATAAGGTTATGATTTTAAAAAACAGAGTAGGGGCACCTGGGTGGCCCAGTCAGTTGAGCATCCGACTTCTGCTCAGGTCATGATCTCACAGTTTGTGAGCTCGAGCCCCGTGTCAGACTCAGTGCTGATGGTGTGGAGCCTGCTTGGGATTCTCTCTCTCTCTCTCTCTCTCTCTCTCTCTCTCTCTCTCTCTCTTTCTCTCTCTCTCCCCTCCCTCACTCGTGCTCTGTCTCTCTCTCACTCTCTCAAAAATAAATAAAAAACATTTTTAAAAATTAAAATAAAAAATAAAAACACAGTAAATGTCAAAAGAAAGAAGAGTTTGAAGGAGTTCTGCTGGGCTGGGGTCAATGGACCAGGGGCAGCTGGTTAGACTCTGAGCTTCGTGGCATGACCCGATTTTTCCTCGTCTCCATGTTCTACAGAAAATACATTAGAGAATTATAAAGGTACAGGAGGTGGTTATGGTATATTGTAGTAGAAGGGTGGATAATCTCTGACTTTTAAAAGAAAAAGTGAAGACTAGAAAAATGTCTGCTAACTGTTGGTAGTTTATCTGAGTGTTTAATGAAGTGATTTTTTTTCCCCTTCCTTTGCTTATGTAATTTTTAACTATAAATTTACCTTGCGAGGGGCGCCTGGGTGGCTCAGTCGATTGGGCATCCGACTCTTCATTTTGGCTCAGGTCATGATCTCACGGTTCGTGGGTTCGAGCCCCGCGTCTGACTCTGTGCTGACAGCGCGGAGCCTGCTTGGGATTCTCTCTCCCTCTCTGCCCCTCCCCTGCTCTCACTCTCTCTTTCTCAAAATAAATAACAACTTAAAAACTTTAAAAAATAAAAAAATCTTACGTTGCGATACATTGCATATTACTGAGAACAATTTGAAAGGAGACTTTTTATACACACACGTGCCCACACCCACACACCCAGGAAACACCAGTCCCGACCCAGAATAGGAATGAATTTCCCTCCGTGGTCGTGAGTTCTGGAACACGCACTGGGGACCCGGGTTCATACGCCAGGAAGCACCAAGCATAGAGCAGGTACCACAGTGGGGTGGGGTTGGTAGGCAGCCCTCCCAGGGCGAGCCCTTGAACCCTAGGGACCCTTTGGAAGCAGCTCAGCAGAAGCCCCCTGCGGGCGGGGACAGGTAGAGACGGGGTCGTCCGTTTGCATACACTCCACACTTGCACACGCAGGGTTGTCTCAACCAATTTTCACTGCTGAGAATGAACGCACAAAAACTCCGTAATGACGAAGAGAGCAGATTCCGTAGTCTTTTCCAAACAAAGAAATGCAGTCAGCGGACAAGGTCTCACACACTAGAAGAGCGTCCCTCCAACCATCAGACCCGCCCGGGACTGACAGCCTCCCCGAGCTGTGAATTTGGCGATGTTAGAAGTGTTTGGTGGGATCCGGGTTTCTGCGCTGCACGGACGGGAGCTGGATGTCCCATAGGCTGGCGCCAGGAGCTGCACACTGACAAACTTCATTGTTACTGCTGGTCCAGGGGTGGCCAGTCCGTGGACGGTTACTAGTCCTGGCGGCTCGGGAACATGCAGGGGCAGCAGAGCAGGTGGAAGTCAGGGCAGAGGGAGCCCTGAGCCGTCCCCTTCTGCTCTCCCCCTGCAAGGGCACAAGTCAGGGTGGCCCCGGTAAAGTTTCCAGAAGGAATAGTTCTCTTTTGCATTTAATTAAGGGCTGAGGGTTCCCCTTTCTCATATTTATGCTGAGGGAGGGTTCCCAAGTCCCCTGACTGGCCTGAAATCCCTCGGTAACATGGGGCAGAGCCCCAGCTCCCCATGCTTCGGGGGACAGGGCGGGTCTTGGGGATGTCTGAGCATCCTTGGGCCACCTGAGGACCACGCCTGGGCAGCATGGCGAACCCCCACACCGGGGCATCCGCCACCTGCCCAGGGGCCCCAGGAAGGAGTCTGGCAATCTGCCAACCCTCCTTCAAGCCCCGCGTCACACGGGCCAGCTTCTCCAAGTGGGGTGCACAGGGGGCAGAAATGCCCTGACGCTCACCGTTGCCTTCCTTTGGGCTTCCCAGGTATCTCTGGGGTCACAGATTGACTTGCAGAAGAAGAAGAGGCGGGCGCCCGCGCCCCCTCCGCCGCAGCCCCCGCCGCCAAGCCCCCTGGTGCCCCCTCGCACTCAGGACCAGGAGGAGAACAGGAAGAGCGCCACGGGTGAGTGTGTCCGCATGCTTCCGAGTCTTGTCTTGCGTGGAGTGTTAGCGCTGCCCTTAACCCCTGCAGTCGCCTCGCCCACGAGGGCATTAACTGGGGAAACATTTATGCTGAGGAAAGAAAGTCTGGAAATAAACACTTGTGAGTCCATCCCGAAGGCCTGTTTTCCGGGCATCGTGGAGGCAGGTGGAAGGCGGGGGGCGGAGAGGGTGGGGGATGGCTGAGGCAGCTCGGGAGAGAGCGAGCGGGGTGTGCACATGTGTGCGTGTG